GTGGTTATAAAAGGCTCCCTACCCCCCAAGAACAAGGTATGTGAACTTTGCGCCATCTGGTTTTATCTTGCCTTTGAAAGAATTCTAACTTGAGCTTCGGAGCATTCATACCGGGTTCCCCCCGGAGCTTCCTCATCTTCTCTGTTTCAGGCTCCCTGTAGCTCCGTTCAGAGGCAAGATCGTTGACAGCTAAGACCAGCCGGATTGCACACCATCACATCTGTACTCAGAATATTTGATCTAACAATGCCATAAACTGCAATGTCAAGGCTCTGATATCATAATGAACAATTGCAAAGATTGATGCCCAAAAAATTGACCCTTCATTGACGGAGACAACGAATATATACACGATTACATCAAGGCTAAAATTAGCAACATCCTAATCAATGGAGGAAAATACGTAGCAAATATTCTAACTTCTTAAAACTCTYCTAAAAATATGCACAAAATCTATCTAAATATGTACAATATCTCTATTACAACTTTATACAAATTTAGTGGTTAAGATTCAATTTAAATTCGAATACAAACTAATCAAATTTTTTTTGGTCAAAACAAACTTATCTTTAGTTCCATAGGGAGAAGTACAAAAACACACGATGCAGAATTCTGAATTCCAACCCCCCCTACTACTAACGCTCTGCCCCCCTATAAACCACATCCTAACCGTGAATTTGACATCAATTCACGGTCAGATGCATTCCCTGTACTTTGGGGCTAGAGAATTCTGATCTGGGCTGATTGGTACCTCTCCCTGATTTTATATCTGATTCGATTTGATCCCTTTGCAATGCACTACTCTATTTAGCCGTGCGCCCGTGCCGTGTGCAGATGTAAGTCACGTGCCTAACCGTATAGGAAATCATATATTTTCGGCCCAAGCCACGCCGAACTCGAAGCTGGTTATTTTCCGTCGCCACTACCATCTGTTGATGTTGATCTCTCTCTCTCTCCGATTGCGTCTCTGAGAATCTGACTCTTAGTAAGATTTGGGAAATAGTTCAGACCCATTTCGCCTCTGAAATTCTTCATTCCCCTTCAAGGCTAGACAACTTCAATTTTCAAACTTTTAACATCATTCAATCATTATATCTGTAATTTACTGCCTTCTGTTCTGGTCTCATTGTCTCTCCCTGTCACACAGACTCACAGCCATTGTTCCTTCGAAAGAAGTTACTCTATACTCCATGCAACAAGAAGGATCAAAAGTCACATTCTCAATCTCCATATAAAACCAATAAAAGAGAGCTCGCTCTCTCTCTTTTTTTCTTGCATGGTCTCACACAAGCCTCTTCTACCATGACAAGCAAGACCCATCTCCAAAATCTCGCTCTAAATACTTTTAATGGGTACAGCAGTGAAAGTAGCTCCTGTAGCCCACCTTCCTCCCCACGCCGTCCCGGGAAGGTCCCACATCACCGGAGACGTTATCGGGTAAAAGACCATTTGCGGGTTCGCCCAGGAAATTTCTTCGGCAGAGTTCTCTCTCGACGCAATTTACGCATATTCATTCTCCTGCCGCTGCTCTACATCTCTTATCTGCTCATATTGTTGGGGATAGCGCTTCTCCACTTCTGTACTCCTCCTCCTCCTACTATTTCAATTTCTGCTCCTACTTCTCCTCCGCCACTTCCACAGCCGGGATCGGTGTACCGCAGCCATGAAGTTTTCCAAAACCTCTGGCCTGACATTCAGTCGGATAATGTCTCCGGGATTGAGGTCGGGTTTCTCTATATTTCCTTGTTTTTGGACCTTTTGGTTCCCATTTATTTGCATTTGTTTATTATTTTTTCATTTTGTTTATTTCGTATGATGGATTTTCCTTTCTGGTCCTGATGTTTGATTTTTGAGTGTTTGGTTTGGATTATTCTGTTTCTTTGAGGTTCAAAAAAAAAAAGAAAGAAAAAAAAAGAAGAAAAGAAAAAAAGACAGAAGAAATTCTAGTTTATTCGAGATAAGAAGGGAATAAGATTAATGGGATTTGTCTTCCTGAAGAGTACACTATACTTTGTAGTTGACATTTGAAATTCATTTACTTGTGGTGGCGATGCTTCAAGCTGCAAGTTTAAAAAGAAGAGGACCTATTTTGGTGAAAACTCTCTCTTTTTGGACATTTTGTTTCATTTCTTAATTGTCCAGAGTCCAGACAGTTATAGAATTTACATATAGGGCTCAATGTTGTGGAGTTTGTAGGAATACAGCAACTAGAGAAGAAGTTCTATATCTAATTAACTGCAGTAGTTGGTCCAAAGTTGAGGTGATTGTTTGTTCCATGTCACAAATTCTTTGAAGTGAGATATGGGTCGTACAGAGAATTTAACATAATCTCTCATAATCACATTGCTTGCTCTCACAAAGGCATTGAGTTTTACAAGAATTTTTCTTAATCTTGAAGCGTTTTGGTGCTTAGATGTTGTTCATTATGATTGTAAATCAATGCCCTTGTAATAACATATCTGCCAATTTCTAGGAAGCCAGAATTCATTACTTCAGTTCTAATATTGTTTCGGCATATGCTAGTGAAAAGGCAGTACACATGATTGGAAAAATGAAAAAAGATACGTAGATGATTTTTATTTCTCGATAAGTAAAAAAGATAAGTAGATGTTTTAAATTCGGTGACTTCACTTTATATCTGTTCTGCTATCACCTCTACATCTATTTAACTCTGTGATTGTTATTAGGGGATAATTGATTGCCGCTGTAATGGCTAAAATTAAATTGGGAACTACAAATTTTATCTAAGGAATGCAGCAAGCAACATCAGGATGTATCACCAGACTTCAGTGCTACTGCAGACATTGTTAGACTAATGAAAAGATATATTAGAAGACACAGATTGGCCTGTCTTTTATTAGTCATTTGTTTGTATCTGAAGTTGGGGTGATGAAACCTGGCAATTTTTGCTATGTTTATCTTTTAATTTGATATGTTTATACTTTATGCCTTCTTAGTTCTTTTGAATAAAATATTGAAGGTAATTAAGTATAGTGATAAAATCAATATCAAGTTATGAAGTGAAAAAAATCGATGTTATATGGTGTTAAATAAAATTCAAACAAATAATTCACATTAATCAATTTGCTCTTTCTTGTTTACAAGAAACTAGAGCTTTTATTGGAAATTTTGCATAGGGGTGGAAATGAAACGAGCTTTTCACGAGCTATTTGAGCTCGGCTCATAAAAAGATTGATTTAGCTCGGTTTAAACAGAGCTTTGGGATGAGCTCGAGCCCAATATACAGGCTCGTTTGCTAATCAAACCGAGCTTGAGCCTAATGAAGCTCGGCTTGTGAGGCTCGTGAGCCTAATCATACATACATACATACATACATACATACATACATACATATATATAATATTTTTACTTTTATGTATAATAATAAATAATTTTTATAATTCTTATTTTTCATATGTAAAATAAAAACAATTTATATATATTTTTTATTTTTATATGTATAATAATAATTGTTATATATATATATATACTGACCCGAATTCAAGCTCAAGTATCTAGCTCGAATTGAGCTCGAGCCTAACATTCTTTTGGTGAGCCGAGCTCAAATAGCCAGATATTCGGCTTGGTTTGGCTCGAATCCACCCCTAATTGTGCATTTACAAGAGACAGGAGTTAGAAGAGTTTTTCACATATATCTCTGCCAATGAATCTACAGTAACAAAGTGCAACAGCTAATTCCTTTTCATTTTTATTTTACTTTTTAGAGAATAAAGAATGGAAAGATTGGGAGAAAAAATCACCAGAAAAAAAAGGAAATGGAGAATGGAGAATGTTGACATTTAGGTCATGTTTGGTTCACATTCTTTCAACTCTTACTCATTCTTGGAAAGAATGAATAACATTAGAGCTTTTGGCTACAAAATTCTTCCCATGGGTCTCATTCTGTTTAGAATGAAAAGCCCATGGCACAATAATTGAGGTAACCAACAGCACAAAAAATAATCATGCCCCATGTTGCTCATTTTCATTCCTTTTTTTTTTCTGATCAGCAAAAGAAATCTTTTCATTAAATTAAAGTTACTGATTCAGTACAAGCATGAAGTATTCCATCATGGAGGTAATCAAAATTGATCAGATTACAAAACTGCCCAGAAGAAGGTGGGTCTCTCAGTTCCCTGTTTGGCTAGAATATCCTCCAAGACATTTGCTTCCATCTTTTCCCAAGCAAAACTTGAAGTGAATCACTGAATCTCTTTGCAAGTAGGTCAATTTCTCTGAAGATAAATATGAATTTCCAAGGTGCTGAATTGATTTGCTTTGCCCAGGATATAATCAAGTGTGAATCTCCTTCAATCTCCCAATCTTTTGCTCCTAATTGCTCTGCAGTTTTAGTCCTTGTCGGAGTGCCAGAATTTCAGCGTGAAGTGAATCACTGAAACCAATTGGTCCTGAGAACAAAGCCACTACTACACCAAAGTGATTTCGAAAAACTCCCCCAACACATGCTCTCCCCAGATTACTGAAGGAGCTACCATCAAAGTTCAGTTTTAGCTTGTTTAAACTTGGTGGTTTCCAATCCAAACTTATTCTTTCTCTTTGCACTTCTGTTTGTGTCACTTCACTCACTTTCTTATGATGCCATTTGTTGAGACACTCCTGAATGGATACATTGTTTTTACCCGATGTGCAGATCTTACTTTTATAGCTTCAATTATTTCCTCCTTTGGCTTGGTTTCATTTTCATTCTTCAATTTTTCATTGTAATTCTTCAAAGGAATTTTGTGCCAGTGGTCACAAACCACTAATAGATTTTTACCGGCGGATGGACAGCGGTCAATTGTCCATTGGCTATTTCTGTTGTGAAAACTTATGCCAACAGACATTGAATGCTGCTTATCTGTCAGTAAAAATCTATTCTGCTGGATTGGAGACCTAAGCCGGTGGATTGTGATGGCTAGCATAGAGCTTCTTTGAAGAATGAAAATGAGAAACATGAGGCATGATTGTATGTTATCAGATTTTATGACTTTCTTAGTATAATATGTATATATAGAATATACTATTATCAATTTGGTGAAATTGTTAGACATTTTGTATTTATTATGTTATTAATTTTTTTTAATTTTACAAATTTTAAATTCCATTTCTATTTAGAAGTTCCAAGCTCTGTTCTTCATTTGTACAACTGCTACTCAATTCAGAAACTAGTTTTAAATAGGTGATAATTGCTTCCTTTAAATTTTCTTTATGCAATCAAGTGCAAAATCTTTTGTAGTTTCTTTTCTTTTTTTCTTTTTCATATTTGTGTTAATGATGTGGCATCCACATGGTTGATTTGTGTTTTCTTAGTGTGTCTTGCATGTTTCCACTATATATATGCTAATGAGCATTGTATGTATAACTATATTATTATTTTCGTTGATGAGAAAAAGAATAAAATTGAAATTTGTAACCAAATGGCTTCAAAATTTATTCTAATTCTTGCTGYGAAAATAAATCATTTTTTTTTTGGATAAAAGCGTTTAGTTTGTAGCAACATTTTTTAATTCTGTCCATTTCTACCATTTTTGTCCATTTTAAAATTTTATTATTGGAAAGAATGAGGAAGAATGAGAGTGGAACCAAACATGGCCTTAATTACTTCGAAATTCCAATATGTTATTTTAGCCACATGATTATCGAAAAAAGAATGTGGTAAAGAAATCTTATYAAGTTCTATTGAATTTATTGAAAAAGGTACGTTCCAAGAATGTACAATGTTGCCTTCAATGTATAGAGGCTAGTTTGCTCAATTGAGAGTATGAGACCAATTTTAGGAAAGTTCTCATTGTGTAGTTTATTTGTTTCAGTTGAAGGATTTAATGATGGTCAAATAGATTTGCTTAAGCATTTACTTAACCCTCCATAACAGTTTCTGCTTCGCAAAAAAATGTTGAGAAATTTCCTTTTAAGTAGAAATAACTGGAAATTCAAATAGTACAAAATTGGCAAATAGAGTGGAGGGCTAAAAGAGGTCACCGACTTCTTACAGGAGTCTCCAATATAAATAAGCATACCTCAATATATATAGTTTCATGTATACATATTTAACAAATATATAGACATATTGCTTGCATGCATGCATATGATTTAGTTATTTGCTGAGTGTATTCTGCTTTTCTGTAGCTGTCTTCTTTATGGAGATATAGAAAGAGGCAGAAAGAAGGGAAACCTTGTAAAAATACTAGTCCTGGACGGCGGCATTCTGGTATGGACAGTTATTGTAGCTACTTTTGGCTTCTCCGTTTATCTTCTTTATCATGTGAAAACAATATTTCATCTTTCTCCCGTTGATTCTACAGCATCCATTTGTTACCTTTTATTGAGAAAATTTCATGATAATTATAACGATTACAAAATAAATCAAATGGATGATAAAAACTTTGGGATCAGAACTACAAGGACATTTTTTTGATGGTTAACTGTCAAAATTTATTGATGCTGTTAGAAAGAATACAGTGGCATTCTTACACCTCAATGGTGTGGTTAGCCTCGGTGAACACCTTCCAAAATACAAAAATACGAAATCTTTTACATTATTTGGCCCCAAGACATACTGTTCCTCATTGCTGGGGTTCACCACAAGGATGGTTGACTACAAGGACATTTTAGCTAATAATAAAAAAGGAAAAAAGCTGGGTTTTCTTTTAGAAAACTAATGTTCTCTATCAACTTTCAGGATCTTCTGTGCCCAGTGGTTATTTGATTGTTGAGGCTAATGGTGGTCTTAATCAACAACGAACATCGGTATGTAACTATGTCGGGTATGCATGACCATCTTGATTCTTTAGTTGTCAAACTGTTTTGCACACATCTTTGTCAATGCACTATAAGAATGAACTTTTTTGCCCTCTTGTTTCTGCAGGGGCACAACATGAGTACTCTAGTGTTCAAGACATGGTGTTCTGTTTCACTAGGAACAACTCTCAATTTTTCATTTTAAAATTCTTTGTGGAAAATGATATTCACAGCGCTTCATTATATTTTTATCATGGTCCTCCCATACTTCAACAATTCAACATACTTATTGTACCTAGATACATGATATGATAATGATCCTGGTACATGATACTGCATACATGCTTGCCTTATACAATTGCATTATATGGTTTACTTGCTTCCTTCACTGCAGTTTTCTGTTTATTACATGAAGATAAATATATCATAGCATGGTATATGAGAAATGGAAGAGAAAATTTTTGAAATAGTTACAATTTTGATTGCATTTAACATAAGACATTATTAGGTTGTCTAACTGTATGATATCTGTGTTATAATTTGGAAATGGGTGGTTTGTTATCTCCGGTATCTTGTACCAGTATTGGTAACATATTGTGATAAGAGAACTTTATAATGAAGCTATCCATGCAGTATTACTTGTGTATCAGTACTGTATTACATTTTTAATTTCTTAATACAACTTTAGTTTACCTTAAAAATAGAAAGAAAAGGAAAGGAAATGCAAATAAGTCTTACTGTACTGATCCAAAAATAAAGGAAAAAAAAAATTTATATTTGGTTTCCTGCATCAGTTGTATCTGTATTTGGGGCCTTTGGGCATTCTAATTTGCAAGTGCCATGATAATAATACAATATCTTGAAAAATGATGGACAAGACATTTTTGAGAAGTTTAGTCTCTTTTAGMCTTGGAACATTAGTGTTGCCATATTTACATTGCCTCCCCAAAAATGAGGAAAGAAGATGATTGGTCAGAAGTTGAAACAATAAAGTTGTAAGATGCTTCCAAGAAAGTGAGAATTCTTAATTGAGACTATTTGTCTCAAATGTTAACTTGAAACTCCTAAGTGATTTTCTTTTTTCTCCAAAGGTCTATTTGGTCAGTGCTAATTATATGCATGATTACACATATTATCTTCTACCCTGTATAAGAAATTGTCTTCTGGCAGATCTGCAATGCAGTTGCAGTGGCAGGGCTTCTGGATGCAGTACTGGTCATCCCACAATTCGATTTCCATAGTGTTTGGAAGGACCCGAGGTGAACAATTTATATCTCTCTCTTTCCTCATCTTGTGGCAATAATGAATGATCTTGAATGCAAAGATGTACTATAATACGAATAGAAAAGAATGTGTGACAAGGATGTGCAGTGGACCATGTAGTGACAAGTAATATGAAGGGTCATTTACTATGAAATCCCTTATAGTTTTGCATATTTACTGAGACCTACTCTTTAGTTTACGTATTACTATGACACTCCTACTTTTCAACTATATTACTTATTACTGGTTTTCTTAGATGGACATGTAAAATGACATTTTTGACCATAATTCCCATTTGACCAAATTAATCAAAAGAAAAGATAGAGAACCAAAATGTCAATTTTGTCCCTGTTAAAATGTAGGCAACTAGTCTGCCATCACGCTTTTGTTCTCTGGTTGAAGAAGGAAGAAGGATAGAGAAGTTGATGAAGGAAGCTATTCTCTCTTCCACTTCATTCGTTCAAATTAGAGCAACAAAATTGAGCTCCCTCCACAAAGTCATGTTCTCATGCTTGTCAAGCTCTCAAAAGTGAGGTGGAGAGGTACATTGCAATAACAGAGGAGTTTGGTTGGCCGTTTTGTTAATTCTGAGCCAGAAATGGAACATGTTAGAGCCTGGGCAGTAGCTGAATTTTGCCCAAGTTATTCTTTTCAGGTTAGAAAATTGCATGCCGGTTTTTTCTTTTTCACTTTTGATAAGGAGGTTGAAGTGAGTGATATTCTGATGCGAGAACAAAGTCATATTCATGTACAAATTGAGAATGGTGGAAGATTAGCATGACCCCTGCACAAGGATGCCATGCACAAATCGAGAAATGGTCTAAATTTTTATTTATCAAAAAAAAAAGAGTGGTGGAAGTGGAACGATCAGGCTGATGAGGAGCAGAGGTTGAAGATGAGGATAATTTTGGAATTAAAGATAGAGTTAATTTTAGTTGGGGTGGCTCATTAGGAGTTGCTGTAAGTAAAGTTTGCAGGGGCTTGAAGAGCTGTGAAGAGAACGAAGCCCATTCTGAATTTGAAATGGTGGGCTCTCATTTATTGGTGGCTAGTGTTGGTGAGGAAAGTGTAAATGTGGGATACATGGAAGGCTAGATAGAGAAGAGGGTGAGTTTGATAAGGGTTTAGAGAAATCTTCGCTTTTAAAAGTTGAGGAGGCGGGTTGGGTTGTGAGGCACGTTGGAGGTTTAAGTGGGGATCATTTTATGAGGGCCAATTTTAAAGATGGCAGAATGGAAACCAGCAGGTCAAGTTACAGGTTGATAAAAGAAGATGTTTTCTTTTCAAGCCCAAAGAACAAAAGGGTTGGGGCTTTGAAGGGATTGGAGCTGGTCAAGGTGCGAAGGGGGAAGGAAGAAAACTGTTTCTGGGAAATTTTCAGATATGCATATTAGGTAAAAAAAGATTGTTTTGTATGATGGGGAGGAGAGTGGTCTTATTAAAAGTGAAGTGATGTATACAATGGTAGTTTTCCTGGGTGCTGCATTTGACAAGGTTTCCAGAAATAGATTCTTGTTGATGACCAGTTTTGAGGAAGTTGTAATTGGAAAGCTAGGGGTTGACTTGGAATGTAGAAGGAAGGATGAAAAGAAAGTAGTGGCTGCTTTTGAGGAGGTGGCTCCTAAGAAATTTCGTGGTTCAAGTAATTTATTTCTTGTTTATATGACTAAAGTTTTCTTGTGGCTGAAGCTTGGTGTGGTTGGGGTAGGTACTACAAATAAGTACAAGAAGGTGCTTAAGATAAAAGGAGTGAAGATGAAGGCATTGACTTTTAAGGTGACTGGAGGGGAGGCACCTCATGCYCCCATCAGGATGGAAGCTAATCAGCTGAATTTTCCTCGAGAAGAAAAATGAGGGTGGGAATGAATCGATGTCGAGARTGCTTAATAGAGATTCAGAAAAGGTGGAAAGGGAAGGAAGTTTGGCTCTTGAAAAAAATTGTTGAGAGAGATGTAGAGGTGAGAAAAAATCTTGGTGTCTCTTTTGGGGTGGTGAGGCATTTGTTAGATGATCTTTTGAGGAGCTCAAGAGAAGACAGAAGAGCGGTCGAGAAAAGTTATAGTGGAGGAAGGAGGAGGGGTTTGGAATGAGGTTGATGAAAGGTAGGAGGAAGTGTGGAGGATTAGGGGTGATTTTTGCAAGGTGGTTCATTGTTTTTGATTAGGTGGAGGAATCCTAAGTTTCTTGGGTTATGGGGTCAGGTGGTGGTGCTTTGGGATATGGAATATTTTGGATTTTTCCCCGGTTGTGAGTTTTGTGTTTTGAGCCTTGATGTTTGGTTTTGTTGGAAGTTTTTAGCGTTTGTAGGTGTTTTTGTCTTTCTCTTGGGTGATAGCTTATCACCTTCCTTTCTTTTAATGAATTTCTATTTACTATCAGAAAAATGAAAGATGCACTTGTAAAGGGAGAGCATCCATGTTTTCTCAGAGAGAACTAGGTCTGTTGACCTAGACCTATTGGACAAACCACCCCGTCTTGGCTACCATCCATGAGTATCCAAGTGACTACAACATGGGTTACTTTTAGTGATTTTAAGTTTCTTTTCTTTTTTTTTTTTTTTTTTTTTTTTTTGTCAAATGTCAAAAGGGCTTGCCATTGATTGCTATCCATGCCTATTAACAAACTTCCCAAGAGATCTCGTTCCTACAGAATTCCTCATACATCCTTTCTTCTCAAGAGAGAACTTAATAATATTGAAATCCCCTCCAACAAAAGAAGGAAAATTATCCTTGTTCTGGATCTTGTTTAGCTCCTCCCAAAAAGCCTGCCTATCAACCTCATCATCTGGATCATAAACACCTGTGATACAACCCTTGAAATCTCCAAGACCCAAAACTTCAATGGGGACAGAGAAATTCCCCACAAAGGAGTGACTCACCTTTATTGGATTGGCATTCTAGATTACCAAAATCATCTCTGCTCTCACGGAAGCATTTAGACAACACCACCCACAATGACCATACCCCCAGACACTTCTAACCACAGAGGCCTCCATCTTGCTCAATTTTGTTTCAAGACGACTTCTAGATTTTGCTTTTTTAATTACCGAGTAGATGACAACCCTCCTAGTGTTAGACAGTTTTGTATGCCCTTAGCTTCAATCAGAATGATGTACTTATGAGTTTATTGTAAATGAATAAAAGTGCATATTTGATTCATGTTCC